TAAAATATGGCGTGCGAATACCCTGCCCGCTCTGGCGGGGCCTCCCTGGAGTGGCGGGAGGGGCGCGAAACCTGATAAATAATATGGCGTGCGAATGCCCTGCCCGCTCTGGTGGGGCCTCCCTGGAGGGGTGGGAGGGGCATGAAACCTGATAAATCATATGGTGTGCGAATACCCTGCCCGCTCTGGCGGGGCCTCCCTGGAATGTTGGGAGGGGCGCGAAACCTGATAAATAACATGGTGTGCGGATACCCTGCCCGCTCTGGTGGGGCCTCCCTGGAGGGGTGGAGGGGCACGAAACCTGATAAATAATATGGTGTGCGAATACCCTGCCCGCTCTGGCGGGGCCTCCCTGGAGGGGTGGGAGGGGCACGAAACCTGATAAATAACATGGTGTGCGAATACCCTGCTCGCTCAGGCGGGGCCTCCCTGGAGGGGTGGGAGGGGCACGAAACCTGATAAATAACATGGTGTGCGAATACCTTGCTTGCTCAGGCTGGGCCTCCCTGGAGGGGTGGGAGAGGCACGAAAACTTATAAATAACATGGTGTGCGAATACCCTGCTCGCTCAGGCGGGGCCTCCCTGGAGGGGTGGGATGGGCAGGATACCTGATAAATAACATGGTGTGCGAACACCCTTCCCGCTCTGGTGGGGCCTCCCTGGAGGGGTGGGAGGGGCACGAAACATGATAAATAGCATGGTGTGCGAATACCCTGCTCGCTCAGGCGGGGCCTCCCTGGAGGGATGGGTGGGGCAGGAAACCTGATAAATAATCATGGTGTGCGAATACCCTGCCCGCTCAGGCGGGGCCTCCCTGGAGGGGTGGGAGGGGCACGAAACCTGATAAATAACATGGTGTGCGAATACCCTGCTCGCTCAGGCGGGGCCTCCCTGGAGGGGTGGGAGGGGCACGAAACCTGATAAATAACATGGTGTGCGAATACCTTGCTTGCTCAGGCTGGGCCTCCCTGGAGGGGTGGGAGGGCACGAAAACTGATAAATAACATGGTGTGCGAATACCCTGCTCGCTCAGGCGGGGCCTCCCTGGAGGGGTGGGAGGGGCACGAAACCTGATAAATAACATGGTGTGCGAATACCCTGCTCGCTCAGGCGGGGCCTCCCTGGAGGGGTGGGAGGGGCACGGAACCTGATAAATAACATGGTGTGCGAATACCTTGCTTGCTCAGGCTGGGCCTCCCTGGAGGGGTGGGAGAGGCACGAAAACTTATAAATAACATGGTGTGCGAATACCCTCCTCGCTCAGGCGGGGCCTCCCTGGAGGGGTGGGAGGGGCGCGAAACCCGATAAATAACATGGTGTGCGAATACCCTGCTCGCTCAGGCGGGGCCTCCCTGGAGGGGTGGGAGGGGCGCGAAACCCGATAAATAGCATGGTGTGAGGAAAGGCATGGTATGGTATGGGATGGTGGATGCATGGTATGGTATGGTAAGGTATGGTATGGAGTGGCATGGTATTGGCATGGTATGATACAGTATGGGATGGTGGAGGAAGCGGGAGGAGGAGGAGGAGGAGGAGGAGGAGGAGAGGATGTTCTGGGAAAACAAGAGCCCCACTCAGGATGTGGGTAAAAACAAAAACAAAAAAAACTTCTCGAGCCCAGAACCTCGAACCTCGCCCCCCTTTACTACTCGCTGGCACCAGTGCTGGGCTACCTCAGACCCCAACCGGCTCCAGAGATCAGGTCTCTCCCGACCCATCGGCCGCCGCTGCCGCCGCGCTGCAGAGACGCCGAAGCGCTGCTACTGGCCCTGTATTGTAAGCGCAGCGACATGTCGGCCGCTTCTGTCGTTTGCTTCCGCCCAGCACATCAAATACCATGTCTCTGAAGAGAGCCAGCAGTCTCCGTGAGTCTGGGTTCGTCTCCCACCTGTCCCTGAGTCTCGGGCGCTCCACGGTCAGCGTTGCGCGGGAGTTCTAGTTCATGAGAGCTTGTCTGGTGGTCTGTGCGGCACGGATGGCTCAGGGGGCCCTTTCCGAAAACTCCTGCCATCCGTCGTGCTGATTTCCCTGGTCCGCATTGTGCCAGGGAGCGATTTCAGCTGGTGAGCGTTTTGTTATTCGGCGTTCCGACGTTGGGCGGCAACGGGGGGGGAAGGGGGGGGGTCTGGCTCCAGACCTCTGCTGAGTGCGACTGTGTGCAACAGTGCGGCCTATGGGGGAGACCCCACCTGCTCGAAACGGGCGCCAAAAACAGCCAAGGTCTACTCCACGGGGGGGGGAGAGGGGGGGGGGGGGTGCGAGGGCCCGTGCCGATCGGCAGAACAAGTAGTAAAAAAACGATCACCAGCTGGGCTTGTGGAGTCACTGGGTGATTGACTCTGTCAGGCAAACCTTTCTCGGCGGTGCGCACAAAGGGGGTGGAGGGAGGGGGGAGGGCTTCTGAGGAGGAGGCTGCTTCTTAGAAGGCGCCAGCCTTACATCTATAGAGAAGGCCTGCGCCTTCTAAGAAGCGGGGGAGCTTCTGAGAACCCCCCTCCCCCCTCCCCCCTCCCCCCCACCCCCCTGCTGCGCGTGGCTGACGTCCCGCGCGAAGAGCTCGCGCCTACCCTCGAGCGTCCGAGGCTGGTCGATCCGACGCTCGTGGCCTGCACGGCGCGGCGCCTGGCCGACTCGCCCCCCAGATGAGGATGCAGGCTGCTCCCTTCGGGCTTCGAGGGGTGTATCCCCAGCTGGGGTAGTGAGATGGTGGGGCTCGGGATGGGGACGGGGACGGGGCTTGGGATCGGTCAAACGATGCTGGTGTTCGACTCTGTCAGGCAAGCCGTCCCGCGTGAAGAGCCTGCGGCTACCCTCGAGCCTCCGAGGCTGGTCGATCCGACGCAAGGCCTGGGAGGGCCTCTTGGGGCCATCCCTGGAGCCCGCGTTTGGGCGAGAGGAGGAGGAGGAGGAGGAGGAGGAGGAGGAGGAGAGTAGGAGGAGGAGGAAGAGGAGGTAGGAGGAGGAGGAGGAGGAGGAGGAGGAGGAGGAGGAGGAGAAGTAGGAGGAGGAGGAGGAGGAGGGGTAGGAGGAGGTAGGAGGAGGAGGAAGAGGAGGAGAAAAGGAGGCGGAGGCGGAGGCGAAGGTGGAGGAGGAGGGCGAGAGAAGAAGAAGGAGGAGGAGCAGGAGGAGAAAGAGGAGGAAGAGGAGGAAGACGACGGCGACCACCACCACCACGACGACGAGGGCGAGGCCGTCCCGCGAGGCCTTCGAGCGTCCGAGGGGCCGGTCGATGCGACGCCCGAGGCCTTCACGGCCCGTGGCTGGCCGTGGCCCACCAGGTGGCCGGGCCGCCTGCTGGCGGCTTGCCGTGGCAGGAGTGCTGGCAGTCGCTGGGGGCCCGCTCTGGCGATGCCATTGTCGAAAAGAGCTCACTTCACTTACAGTGCGAGGAGGAAGAGGACGAGAAGGAGGAGGAGGAGGAGGAGGATGGGGGAGGATGGGGGAGGAGGAGGAGGAGGAGGAGGAGGAGGAGGAGGAGGAGGAGGAGGAGGAGGAGGAGGAGCGAGCGGAGACCACGGAGGAGGAGGGGCGTTGGCCCAAGGAACCCCAAATAGGATGCGAGGCCCCGCCTGCTGGCGGTTTTCTGTGGCGGGAGTGCTGGCAGTCGCCGGGGGCCCGCTCTGGCGATGCCGTGTTTGAAGATCTTGCGTCACTGATGCTGGGGGACGAGGAGGCCAGGATGGTAAGTAAGGTTTGGCAGCAAGGGCAAGGGGGATCGCACTCACGGACAGGTGGGATCACCCTGTGACTTCAGCTGGGCCTGTGGAGTCACGGGGCCCGCTCTGGCGATGCCATTGTTGAAAAGAGCTCACTTCACTTACAGTCGGGGCGTTGGCCTAAGGAACCCCACATAAGATGCGAGGCCCCTTTTTCCCATACGCTGAGCGTCGATTCCCCATCGGAAACCTGAGGAAGACCTCAGGCAAGCTGTGAACCAATGAAGGAACACCGAGCCCCTTCACAACGAAAAGGGTTCCTTCTTCAGCGCCCCGACTGTATGCTGGAGGATGGGCCAAGACGGTAAGGTTTGGCAGCACGGATATGTAGGATCGCACTGTGATCGACTTCTCTCTTGGTGGCGGCCTTGCCGAGCAGAAAGCTGGGGACTCGCAGGTCCTGGCAGGTGTCGCTCTAGATCATGATGAGCTTGTGCCTCAGGCTTGCTCGGGTCTTAAATGCAACAAGGCGCGTATCATTATCGAGCGTGCAGCTCTTCGTACTGAGTCCGACCGCCGCCTTGCCAAGCCGCTCATCGATACAGTCCTCCGTCACCGACGCGGCGTTGAGGCTGATGTTGGAAACAATTCGCACGAACGGAGTCTCTCGGAAGGCCGTTGGAGCTGCGCCCTGTGTCGTGGCGAGGTCAGCGATGCGGCCCCCTCCCTGTGCGCCCGTCATTGTAAATGTGTTTGCCCTGGTGAGGGAAGAAACGGTACGGCCGACCTAGGGGAGAGGGCTTGCATGCAGCACACGCTCGTTAGGTCACAGCTGGCCGACAGCTACCCGCGCGGAACGATAGCAGCTGGCGACCTCTCGGACTCAATCCTCTGCCCTCCAGAGTTTCGCCAAGGATTTCTGGGAAGAAGGCTTAGTGGAAGAAGGCATCCTTATACTTATGCGGGGCTTGTGGCTGCTGGGCAAAACGGTCGACCTACCACCTCGCTGCAGGAGCCCTGCACCCCATGCTCAAATAGAATCCCAACTGGAAGCCCTCGAGAAGCAGTGTAAAGGCTGGCTCCCTGATGAGAATCTGACCAGGTGGGCGGATGGTTCATCCATCTTCCCGTCCTGGCGACCAGGCCCTGCGCTTGTTGCCTTTGGAGCCTGGCTCCTCCTCCTTCTCCTCCTCCTCCTCCTCCTCCTCTTCCTCCTCCGCCCCTCACCCTCCTCCCCTCTCTCCCTCCCCTCTTCCAGCTCTGGCCCCATCCGCCTCTGCGCGTGTCCCCGCAGGGCCGAGGGGGGGAGCGCAGGGGAGGGGGGGACTCGCTGGAGGTGCTGCCTTCGTGCCCTCCACCATCGCGTTCACGCTGGCGCTGTCAATTCCTGGAGTGGGAGCTGGAGCAGCAGCAGCAGCAGCCAGTGCAGCTGAACCCACCGACGCGTGGACTGCGCAGCAGGCAAGCCCAGCTCGTCCGCTGGCCGATGGTCTGCGCAAGCATCCTGCGCCTGGCGTGGCTTAGAACCTCATGCCTGCGAATATGTCGGATTAATGGACCGTCAGTTGTCCGCGCGGACAAACGGTGGACCTGAACAGAAGCAAGGTGGCCTCGATTATGTCAGCAGATGTCATGTTCCTCCTCGTCCTCCTTCTCACCATCCTGTTCCGTCTCCTCCTCCTCCTCCTTCTCCTCCTCCTTCTCCTCCTCCGTCTCCTCCAACTCCTGCTGCTCCTCCTCCTTCTCATCAACCTCCTCCTCCTCCTCCTTCTCCTCATCATTATTATCCTCATCATTCACACCAATCCCACCCTTTCCCACATCCTCCCTCACCCTTTTTCTTCATACATAAACTCCCTGTCGCGCCCCCGGCGGGCTGGGCGTCTCGTCTGAGACTTCCTCACCATGCATGCTCCTGAAGCTTGACATCTACCGCGCACGTCCGTGTTAAAAGCGTGAAGTGGTTCAAGAATGGAGGACGGATAGTGTTCAAAATGTGGCTCTCGCCTTAGCGCTGCGCACATTCGTGGTCAAAGTTCGCGCAAGCTTCAAGGATGGAGGGCGCGTCCTGTCAAAGATGTGGCTCTCACCTCGGCGTCTCACACATTCGCCTCAAGGCATAACGATCAGGATTCAGGATCGTTAAGACATAACAGTCACGTTGATTCGCGGCATTAGTCTCAGGAACTGATTGAGGACTCTCAGACTGTTGTGTTCTAATCGACCGCGTCCCTCGATGAGAACGGATTTGTGTGGGGGCATGTGAAGACGGAACTTGGAGGGAGAGCTTATTGCAGCATAATTGGTGCGTCTTGGGTTTACACTGGTTCTCCTCCTCCTCCTTCTCCTCCTCCTCCTCCTCCTCCTCGTTCTCACCCTTCTCTTCCCCAAAGATGCTGCGCCTTCGCTGCTGGATGCCTGGCGCCTTCATTTCAGATTCATTATCCTCCTCCTCCTCCTCCTTCTCCTCCTCCTCCTCCTCCTCCTCCTCCTCCTCATCCTCCATTCCTTCCCCTTAGAAGTAATCGTCAATGCCGCACCCCCAAACGTGCCTGCAGGGCGGGCTGGGCGCTTCGCCAGAGACTTCATCGGCACTCATGCCCCTGACGCTCGAGAATTGCAACCACTCCACGGATGAAAGGCAGCTCGTTCTCAAACTGCGGCGCTCGTCTTAGCACCGCGCCCATTCGTCTTAGAAGTTCGCAAAAGCTACGCAAGGAGGGCGAGTCCCTTTTAAAAGTGGCTCTCGCGTCAGCGCCGCGCACATTCGTCATCAAAATTTGCAACATATTCACCGATGGAGGACAGATCCATCTCGTCTCGATATGTGGCTCTCGCCTCAGCACCGCGCTCACTGTTGATGCACAATTTCACAAATTTCAAGCTTGCGGGCTAATGTTCTTCAAAATGCGGTTCCCGCAGTGGCGCCGCGCACATTCGCCGGACCAGTTTGCAGTAGCTTCACGGATGGAGGGTGGCTTCTCTTCAAAATGTGTATCTCGCCTTAGGGCTGCGCACATTCGCCTTGAAAGTCTACAGCGGTTTCACGGATGGAGGGCGGTTCATTTTCAAAACGCGGCTGTCGCCTTAGCGCCGCGCATAGTCGCCCTCAAAGCTTCCAACAGCCTCAAGGATTCAAACGTTTGAAGGCCCAATAATGATGTAATTGCGCGGTTTAGGACTATCAGGACGCAGCAGTATCGTTGATTCGCGGCGTTAGGATTATCAGGACGCAGCAGTATCGTTGTTTCGCGGCGTTGAAGTCGCAGGAGCGGTGCCCTGGCACGACTCAGGATGGTCAGGACACAACAGTCACATTGATCCGCAGCGTTAGTCCCAGGAATAGCGGCTTGGAGCGATCGAGGATCATCAGACGATTGTCTTCTAATCGGCCGTTTCCCGCGATGAAGACGAATTCGTGTAGGGACCTATGAAGAGGGAATTTGGAGGGAGGGATTATGGCAACATCTTTGGTGCGTCCTGGGTCTACCATGGTTCTCCCCCTCCTCCTCCTCCTCCCCGTCCTGCTCCTCCTCCCCGTCCTGCTCCTCCTCCTCCTCCTCCTCCTCCTCCCCCTCCTCCTCCTCCTCCTCCTCCTCCTCCTCCTCCCTCCTCCTCCTGCCTCCTCCTCCTCCTCCCCCTCCTCCTCCTCCTCCCTCCTCCTCCTCCTCCTCCTCCTCCTCCTCCTCGAGGCGACGGCAGCACGCGAGAGCCCGACCGACGCGCCCTCGGCCGAGGCAGGGGGCAGCCAGCGCGCCACACCGCGAGGGCCTCGGCACGGGGACCGCAAGGGGGCGCTCCCCCTGGCCACGGCGAGCCCCTCGGGGCCGCGACTGCCTCCGGCCCCCCGCTGGCCATCGCTCGGACGTCCATTCCCTGTGTTTTTTTTTCGGTTTCGCGCGTGGCTTTTTCGCCGAATGATCAGGGATGCTCCTCGATGGTCCTCGCCGAAGGAAAAAAAGCACACGTCCGAGCGATGCCAAGCGGCCCGACCCAGCTTGGGCGGCACGGCCCGAGAGCCAGAGCGCCCCCTCCACGAGCCCGCAGCGGCCCTGGAGCTCAGCGCGCTGGACCAGTATGAAGTCGGGCCTGTCCCCCTACCGACGGATCTGGACCCGCAAAAATAACGGCCGCGACGCCCTCTCGCGAACCGAAAACGGCCAATTCGCTAATCAGCGTGTCAGGGTAGCAGGTCTGTCAAACTCCGAGAAGTGTCATTGCACCGGCCTTGCAGACGTGCTGCAACAGATTTCTGCGTAGAATTTGCCCGAAACAGCGAGAGAAAAACGAAATGAATTTCATGTAGATGTTTGGGGGTCTTCATTCCTGACCAAAAAATCCACACGGAATCCACCTCGAAATCCGGAACGAAATGCTCCAGGACACTCTGGGCCCATCTGTGAGAAACCTGTTTTCGAGGGGTGGAAGGCGGGGTCGGAGGAACACGATGTCAGGAATCAGCGGTTTTCGGTTTTGCCGCGAAGAAAAACGGCACGCTCGTTTTTTGCTGCCGAAAGCCAACGAACACGACTGACCACGACGTAGCAGGCATGAAGCTCAACGCCTGAAATCTAGCAAACAGACCGCATTTGTTGAAACCGACGAGAAATCAAATCTCGCCAGCGCACGACACGCGAGTGACAAATTGCAGCTGGCGAACAAAATTATGAGCGAACGCAGCCGCCGACGGCGATCGCACATGAACTTCTTCGTGCTTCTGCACCACGCAGGAAAAAACCGCATCCTAACAACACCTGGGACACTGAGAAACTCAATGTCCCGATATCCAAATCCCTAGAAAATCTGAGCGAGAAGGCGCCGCGAGGTGCAATCGACCGAAATTGAGGCACACTCAAAACGACACCATTTCCCGCACGCGGGCCGCAACTCGAGCCCGCAACTGGCCCAAGTTGCGGGCGGGTCGCAGCATGGACATGTTCACCGCCCTCCGCCCGCCGCCCATCCCCCCACGAAAAAATGTACTACACCCAGTAACCCCTACCTCTGTACCACCCGTGTTTGTCCCTCATGTTCTCCGCCCCCGCGCCCGCCGCCGCCACGGCTCGATCGCGGCCGCGGGCTGCGCCGTGGCGCGCGGCGTGCCGACGACGAGGGCACCTGGAGGCGGGCCGCCCCTTCCCCGACGATGAAGACGATGATGATGACGATGGTGCCGATGATCCCTTGCATGAAAAAAAACGACGGTGGAAGCGGTGATGGTGACGATGGTGACGTCGATGGTAATGAGGATGGTGATGGGGACGGTGATGAAAGCGATGCGGAACAGTGGCGATGACGATGGTGATGGAACGAACATTGCGCTGACGACTACGAAAATAAATAAGACGGCGGCCATATGCGACGCATTTCGTCACCGCACAGCGTGGAAGTAGCATGGGCATCAATTGGGCAGTCTTGGGGGCGTGGTCGGTCGGGCCTTTGTGGTGCAATCCCGAGGGACAATTTGGAGGCCCCAGACCAATGCGAGGAACGCAACATGTTTTTGACTTGCTTTCGGCAGCAACCAAAACGTACAAACAAAACAAACTGGGGGGATAAGGCATGACGGGTCGAGTCGAGTGGAAGCAAAGGAGACGGGACGTGGATAGGGGAGGCGGGGCCGCCGCCGGCCGCCGCCGCAAGTTGGCAAGCGGGTGGGATGCCGCCGCCGCCTTTTGCTGCGTGCAGCGCGGCCCAGCGGCCCGAGGCCCGCGACCCTCGGTGCGAGTCGCACGGTGCCGATCCGCGTCCGCGTCCCGCGGCGGCCGCGGAGGGCGTCGGGGGCTGGCGGCTGGGGACCGACCCCCCAAGGACCCCGAGGGACGACTCTCGATCTGATCGTGATGCACGATCAGATCAGGAGGCACCCTCGCCCACCACCGATCGCGATCCACGATCATCGGCCCCAGTCCGCGAGCATCGGCCACGATCCGCGACCGTCGGTCACGACCCTCGATTATCGAACGATCGGCCGAGGACCGAGGACCCGCTATCACCGCACCGAGACCACGATCGCCGATTCACCCTCGATCCTCGACCATCGGCCCGCAAACCTCGATCCAGCAGCCAGCAGCCCCCCTCGCCCCTCGCCCTCGCTGGAGCAAAGCTGCGCGGCGACTCAGGGCGCCGAATCGACGACCTGGCTCCATCGTCGCTCTCCCCTCCTCTCGGCTCTCGGCCCTCACTTTTCGCCCCCCCTCCCTTTCGCCCCTCTCCACCGTCCCGCCCACGCAACTCCCCATTCCCATCCGCCCCCACTCCAGGGGGCGGGGGGGGCAGCCTTGCGCCGACGACGCGGCCTTCTCGTGGCGCGCCCCCCCCCCCCCGACCTCTCGACTTGACCGACCTCGTGGTCGCCGTCGTCTTCGTCGTCGTCACCGTCGTCGACGTCGTGGTCGTCGTCGTCGTCGTCACCGCCGCCGCGGCCGTCGTTGTCGTCGTCGACGTCGCCGTCGTCGTCGTCGTCGCCGCCGCCGTCGTCTCGTCGTCGCCGTCGTCCCGTCGCAGGGTGGATGCCCCCCATCGCCCGCCCGCCCTCGAGGCGGTGCAATGCTGGTCATCCTGCCGATCGTGACCCGCAGGCCTCACCCACTTAGCCTGCTGATACTGCCGTGCCGTCGCCGATGCCGCAGATCCCCACCGCCGTGCCGCCGCGGCCGCCGACGGCCGATCACCACCGCCGTGCCGTCGTCAATGCCGACGCCGACGCCGACGGCAACGACGACGACGGCGGCGGCGGGGAGAGGTCGGCGAGAAGGCCGAAGGCTGCAAACCAAACACCAAAGGGAGGATGTGGATGATGCAAGAGGGCGGAAGCAGCGGCGGCGGCGGCGGCGCAGCCGCGGGCTGCGGGCAGATCTGGTGACGTCCACTGCCGCACAGGTAAGGACGGGAATGAAGTTGTCGCTCATGCGAGTCCTGCCCACCGCGCCGCACGCCGCGCCGCCCTTGCCCCTGCCCGCGTCTCGACGGTGCCTCCGCCTCTCCCGCATCCCGCCCAGGACCCGAAGCTTCGAAGCGCCTCGATGGTCAGGGCGTGGAGTGCGATTGGGCGGGGAGGAGCGAGAGGATAAGGATGAGGAGGTGGCGAAGTGGCGAAGGGAGGAGGAACGTTGGCGAGGAACAGGGCGACGCTGGCAGTGATCAGTGATGCCCCGAGCCCTTGAAGCTTGAAGTTCTCAGCGGGGCGGCCCCTGGGCAATGCCCAAGTCCCGTTCGAGCCCTTGGCGAGGCACGAGGCAGGAGGCCTGTCGAATCCTGGGCGATGAACGAAGCCCTTCGAGTCCAGGGCGAAGCCTGACGAGGTCCGAGGCCCTCCGAGCCTTCGAGTCCTGGGCGAAGCCCGAGTCCCTTCGAGTCCTGGGCAAGGTCCGAGGCCAGCCGAGTCCTAGGCGATGCAAAAAGCCATTCGAGCCCTGGGCGGGGACTTGTCCGAAGCCCCATGGACGAGGTCGGAGCCCTCCTATCCTCAATATCGTCACTATCGCAAGCACTGGCCATCGTCATTGTCATACTCCTCTTCTTCATCATCCTCATCATCATCACCATCGCCATAACGTTTCATCGCTCCAGCATTTCCTACACTCCTCCCACCCTCGCCATCTAGCGCAGCGCGCAGCGGCCGCGTCACGATGGCCCGCGAGCAAGGATGACATGATGACACCATGACGATTGAGTATAACTACTGGCAACTGCGTCGGGAACGTCGCATCGGCGGGCGCTGAGCTGAGCGCCACCAAGCCGCAGACTGCGTGCGTGAAAATCAACGCGCCACGTGCTCACTCTCACGCGGCACCGACGGCCTCGAACAGCCGCGCGCAGCTGCTACGCTTCGGGCGGGCCCGCGGCGGGACCCTCGTTCTCGGAGGCGGTAGTGTCATCACCCATCTCGGGGTCCGAGTCGTCCAAGTCGACATGGCCGCCGCCGTCGACGGCGACGCCGACGCCGCTGCCCTGGACCACGGAGGGGGCTGCGGCCAGCCTCGTGGTCACGTCCAGCTGCTTGATCTTGACAGACTCTGCTGCCTTGGCAACCGTGTAGATGCCGCTGTTGCCCATCATGTCCTGCAGGCTGTAGATGAACTTATCGAGTTTCTTCTGCTCGGCGCGGCGGTCCTTGAGCTCGTGCTGGAGGTAGAAAATGGCATTGAGCAGCACGTGCTTCGGGGTGGTGAGGTTGTACTGCTTGTTCACGAAGTTCGGCATGCGGTTGGGGTTGCGGAGCTCGAACGGCGCCGAGGACGGAACGGGGGGGTTCCGCGTGACCTTCGTAGTCAGAACATCATCCTTGGGCACGATGTGGGTGATGGCACGTGCCACGCGTGGACTGTCAATCACCGTCTTCTTCGGGCGCCCCTTCGGCACAGGACGCGACGCCGAGGGCTTGATCACTGGCATTGGGACCATCGCGAGCCGTCGTCACAGACAGGCACTCAGAAGAGTTAGCGCCAGGATACAAGCGCTGGTGCTTGGGCCACATGGCGACGGCACGAGAAGGATGATAACGGCCCGACGGCCCCACCATTCAAATAGTGGCCCCGTCGTTGGGCGCCTCGTGCCTCGTGCTGGCTACTCGGGGACCACGATCAATGGTTGCCCTGGACCCTGAATGAATGCAAGCGCTGGCTGGGGAGCATTTGCCATGCGCAGGCCCAAGCTCTAAGGTTCATCGATCATCGGGGTCGCTGACGCCCCGCTGCCGCTCATGCTGCTCCTCGTCGTCGGCGTCGGCATCGCATCCTCCTCTCTCTCTCTCTCTCTCTCTCTCTCTCTATCTCTCTCTCTCTCTCTCTCTCTCTCTCTCTCTCTCTCTCTCCATCCCTCTCCTTCCCTCTCCTCCCTGTCTTACTTTCTCTCCCCCATTCTCCTCGTCAACCTCCTCCTCATCCGTCCTCCCTCGGCCCCTCCCCCTCCGCGGTGGACCCTCGCCACCACCAGCTCAACGAGTCCTCCTCCCCATCACGCGCTCCTCGTTCCTCCTCGTGCACCGCGTCGCCCCCGCCACTGCCCCCCAACACGCACCCCTCCTACGCCGTCCACCACCCCCATCCGACTCCATCCCATCCGCCCGCGCTCTCGCTCCGCCCCGCATCAGGTGGGCCGATGACTGCGCTGCTGACGGCTGGTCGCCCTACCCCGCAGCTCGGCGCAGAGGCGCTCTGCCCTCCTCCGCGACCGCATCCCCACATCCAACCAAGTTTCCGATTGTCTGGAAGGCGACGGGAGGGATGACGGCGACGATATACAGAGGGAAGGGTGCAGACGACGAGTATTGGGCATCGGGGATTGGGGCGACGGTGGGGGCCGTGGGCCGTGGCATCGCGGCCAGGAGGGGAGAATGAAAATGAGGCAGATGATGAAGTGGTTGAGCGCGTTGAAGGGCGGTGAGCATGGCGGTGGGGAAGACGAGGGGGGTTGCCAAGCCTTGTTCAGGAGATCACGCTTGCGACCGTCGCTCCCATGACTCGTTTGCAATGTGACCCCGTCGCAGTGAGCTCTGCCACGCGGCCAGCGACCAGTGGCTACCCCATGGAGTATTTGTCTGCCGCGCAGCTGGCCCCAAGTGGCGACTGGAGAGCAGCCCGAGCAGTCGAGCCAAGCGCACGCTGAGCTGCGTGGCGCAGCCCCCCCCCCCCCCCCTCGGGACTGCAGCGGCGCGCGCAGACCGCCCTGCGCTCACAGAGCATTGATGCATCAGCAGAAGACGGGCAGCCCTTCCATCTAGCCCTCGGCCTTCCCCCCTCCTCCCCCCACGGGCGCCGAGCGGTCAGAGCACCCAAAGTGGCGCAGCGCGGCTCCAAGAGGGCCTCTAAAAGCCAAGCCTAAGATGACCCCCACACCCCCACGATGACCCAATGTGTCCAACATGGCTTAGTACGGCTTTCAACGTCCAACAAGCCCCAAAGAAGCCCCAGCCCCGCCCCAAGGCGGCCACAAGTGACCACGGAACCCCACGAGGTCACAGCCTTGCAAGCTATCGAGAACATCGGTTTGGTTTGTCTTATCGCATTGTGAATTTCGATGCCTCGCCGAGGCCCAGTCCCCGAGAGGGCCCAAGGCCACGAGCGCCCCAAGCGTTGCTCAAAGGGGCCACCAATGCGGGCATGAGAGCGCCCAGTAGCGCCCAAGAGCGCTGGGCCCCCGTTCGGGGCGATCGAGGGGCGGCCCAAATTGAGCACCCCACTTCGTCGCCGAACTCACCCAAGATAGGCCCGATAGGGCCCAGAGGCTCCGAATGTGACCCCAAGAAAAAAGATACACCGAGATGCACAAAACCTTCAAACACCAAAAGGAAACATGTTATCCCCTCATTGCCTCTTCAATGTCCCTCCCGCCAAGCTGGACCCAAAAAAATGGGCAATGGAGCTCGAACGAGCAAACCGCGTGATAGGGGAGCCGCTAACTCGCCCACTCGGCCGCTTGAAACTCAAACATCAGGCTGGCTGGTCGGCTAGCGTTGCAAGCATCGTGTTCCAGTCTTCCAACACCGTCCCCTTCATCTTAGAGAATGCCTCCATCGTCGCGACCGTAACCCTGCGTGAGCGGCTGGCCTCCCCTGCCCAGCTGGGGAAGCACCCCCACCGCATCCCAATGGTGGGCATCAGGTGGAATATCATGTACACGAACCCCGTCGGCAGCCAGGCGACGTCGCCCTGCTTGATGATGAGCGCAAAGTTGGGGGCCTGGGCCAGACGCATGGGGGAGCAAGGGCAGAGCCGACGACGCAGATAGACGACGGCGGCGGTTGCGACGTTGCGGCGCCGACTCGGACGACGGCGACGACGGCGACGCGGCGACGACCGACGACGACGCCCTCGACGACAATGGCGATAATATCGGCCAGTCCAGCGAAGACCATAGAGACGACGGTGGACGCGACGAAGATGGGCATGATGGTGAGGACGACGAGAAGGGCGAGGAGGAGGACGAGGAGGACGACGAGCCCAAGACGAGACGAGGAGGGGGGGGGCAGGATGGGGAGAAGGAGGAGGGGCAGGAGAAGCGGAGGAGGAGGGAGGATAACGAAGAGGAGAGGGGAGGAAACATACGCCGAGGATGGAGGGGGGGAGCGTGGATCTACGAATAGCGGGGGGGGGTGACGCGATGAAGAAAAGTGAGGGGGGGGGGGGCAGCGGGCCTCGCGGATCAAGTTGAGCAGGTCCCCCGAACTCATGCTCTGGAGCTTGGAGATCTGCGCGTCGAGCGGCTCCCCGACCATCTGCTGCGCCACCACGAGCTCCTTGCCCTCGAAGACGGCCCGCACCTCGCCAATCCCGAAAGGGGGCGGCAACACCTGCGTGTGCTTCCGCGGGGCGAAGAAAGCCTGCATGCCGAACATCGCCTTGGTCAGCTTCGCGAGCTGGGGCGACTTCGCCAGGAACGCCGTGCGGAACAGCACGCTGTCGGCGCGGACAGCAAGCAGCGATGATTTCGCGGAGGCGACGATCTCAGGCTGGGTCACCGCGCCAAAGCAAATGTTCTCCTCGGCCTTGACCTTCTCCTTGAGCCACGAGTCGAGAGCGTTCCAGCCGTTAGCCTTCTGTACGCCCTCCATGAGCTGCGGCACCTGCATCACCGAGGCTTTACCAGGGCCCTGGACGGCCTCGAAGGTGGTCTCGATGTTGACGCCGCCGTTGAGCTCCTCAACGGAGAGGCCGACGAACACGAGCTTGTTGGCCATGTCCGCGCTGCAATTGGTGTCCTTCGCGTCCTTGGCTTTATCTGTGAGCTTCTTCTTCTTAAGTGTAGAGCCAGCGGCCGCATCCACCTTCTTCTGGGCCGCGGTCTTGCATTCCGCGATTGCCTTCCTGAAGTCGGACCAGTGGGTGCCATCCGCCCTGGTCTTCTCGCTCGCATCCTTGAGGGCGGCCTTGATGGGCTCCAGGTTGAAGTTCCACGAGGCGTCGTCGCTCATATTGGCAATCTTCATCAGCAAGGCATCTACATTTGTCACGATATTCGGCGTCTCTTTCTCGAAGACCACCAGCCTGGCGACAAGTCCCGCGATCGGCTCCTCCTTCAAAGCGTCACTGGTCAACCTATCGGACATGAACCCCCTGACGTCCACGCTCTCGGAAACCTGAATGAGGAGGGAGCTGAGGAGAACGACGACAAAGATGGACGATCGGGACGGGGGGGGCATTTGGGCCAAAGGAGCCAATGCATTGAGGCCGTCAACGAGCTTCTGGCGCATCGCGTCCGTGAGCTTCTTGGCGGCCTGCCGCTTGGCCACTGCCTTCATGGATTTCGCATCGATGGCCTCCTCCATTGGCTTGATGGCCGCCGCCTCGGTATCCTCCCTGTTGCACAGGCGCTTGTACTCGTCCGCCTTCTGGTTGTGCTGCTCGATCTCCATGAGGCCGTCCGTGATGGAGAGCCCCAAGACGGGGCCCCACTGCTCGGCCTCCACATGCGATGCGATCCACTGCTCGGGGACGTCAGTCGGCGCGCCGTCTGCGGCCCCCGCGAGCGCGCTCGACCGCGCCTGAGTGAACTCACCAATGCGCCCTCCATCGTGTTCTTAATGTCGGCCATGAAGTTCTGGAGGTCCTCCGCGCTGGTGAGCTCGCAGGCGTCGCGTTTCACTGAGCCCGACAAGCGCTGCTGCCTGGTCAAGTCCTGAAACTTGCCCTGGTACTCCCCGACCAACCACTGCTGTGTCTCTTCGTCCTTCTGGACCTTGTAGATGCCCTTTAAGATGCGGCTCCTCCACTCCGCCAGTTGATCCTGCTCCGACGTGAAGCCCTCCATAAAGAGATCGCGCTTCACAATGCTCCAAGGCTTCCAGTGGATCCGAGACGTGTCTCCCTGCAGCACCTCCTGCGTCGACGACGCCTCCCCCACCATTAACTCTTTGGGGGCCTCAGGGGAGGAAGATGAGGGGGATGAGGAGGAGGAGGGGGCACGGGAGGAGGGAGGAGGAGGAGGGGGGGGGAGGAGGAGGAGGAGGAGGAGGGCGAGCGGAGGAGGAGGAGGACCCCTCCTCCTCCGTCTCGTCCTGGAGGAGACGGAAGAGAAGGATGAAGAAGCTAAGCGGAGGCGGGGGAAGGAGTCGGAAGGAGGAGGAGGAGAGGCGAGGAGAGGAGATCATAGGGGGAGGTCAGTGGTCAGGAGGTGTATTCTGTTGGACGCAGGGGCCGCGACTTGCTTGTTCCTGTGCTCCTGGTACCACAAGGTCTTCTCCTGAGCCGATTTGTTGTTCCACCACTCCTTGAGCTTGCCGTTCTTGCGCCACCTGTTGGTGAGTGCCTTGTAGCTCTTGCCGCAAGAGATGCAGTCCTCGGTAGACCTCCGTTGCACGATCTGCCTCTCGTCGTTGCTGCACAGAACGTTGCACCGTTTGCACTTGAACTGGCCGTCGCCGACGGCCTCGGCCTCCACCACCCCCATGGCGCACTCACTGTTGGGCGTGCTCGGGCCGCACAGCATGGGGGGCGTGGGCGAGCCCGCAGGCGCGGGGGTCGCGGGCGAGCCCGCAGGCCCAGGCGACGGCCACCCCCCCGCGGGCCCCGCGGGGAAGTGCGGCGTGGCGGCCTTGGCGCTGAGCGGAGACCCTGCGGGCAACGGCGACTTCACAGCAGAGCCAGGGCCTGCCGCCGCCGCCGCCGCCGTCGGGCCGTCGGGGCCGCCTCCGCCCGTGGCGGCCGCGGTCGCGGCATCGGCCCCGACCGCCGCCTCGGCGTCGGCGGCGATGGCCTCACCCGACCCTTTACCATCAACATCCATCGGGCCAGAGCTGGCAGAGCCAGAGCCACCAGCACCACGGCCAGGGTCACGATCACCATGTTGTCGATCCTCCGCCTCCTGCGCGGCGCCGTCGGCGCCCTGCGCGTCGCCCAGATCGGTCGGCGCATCGGCCGCATCCTGGTCCTTGTCCTTGCCCGCCTTCTTGAAGTGGGCGCCGATGGTCTTGCTATCCTCCACGGGCTGGGGCTGCTGTCTCGACTTGGGCGGTGGCATGATGGCTGCAGCAGGCAGGGGTCGGCGACTGGAGGCCAGGTGGCGCCTGGCGCCCCCCTCGCAGATGGCAACAAACCAGCCGAAATTGCCTCGACGGTATGGGTGGAGGTGGGAGAACTCCCCGATTCCCCGCTACACTGGCGGCTCGGGGAGCTGGGCGGATGAGGATGGGGGTCGGGCAAACTAATGACTTGCGGGCGGGGGGGTGAAGGGTGAAGGGCGAGGGCTGCCGAGGGTGACGAGGAATGGCGAAGTTGGGCGGTGGGGGGGGAAACACAGGATGGATGCAGGGGGCGAGGGGGGGAGGCTGGTGATATGATGATATGGCTAAGGCTTTGAAGCAAGCAAGCGGATGGAGGAACGGGGAGCGATGAGTCATGATGAGGGGTGAGGATGAGGATGAGGAGGAGGACTACTAGGAGTCCTGAGGATGAGAGGGGGTGGGAGGGAGGAGGACGAGGAGGATTCGGGAGGACGAGGAGGAGTGATGGAGGAGGGGGGAGGCCTTCAAGGTGGAGAAGCAACAGCAGGAGGCAGGGGATACGGTAGTCCCTGGGCTATGAGCTATGAGTATGTGAGCCCTGAGCTGGGCTACCGCCAGCCAAGGACACTGAACAACAAGCTCATGGCTTCCACGAGGGCGCCGAGGACTTGCAGGAGGGCGGCCATTGGTGGCGGGCAATGAGCGGGCGGGCGGTATGGGGGGAGAGGGGCCGACGGGGATGTCAGCTGATGGGAACGGCGCGTGAGACCCAACCATCCCTTGCCACCAGTTTCGCACGCGCACCCGTTTCGTGGCCCGACAGGTGGTTCCAGACGATGCCCGTTGACATATAACGGCACCGCTGGCGCCACTCGCAAGTGCATATGGTTGGGCCGTTCGCAATGTTACGTTCGTCGTCGTCGCGCCGTCGCCGTCGCACTGTCGCCGTCGGGGAAGCGAAACCAGAGTTTGGGCACATGCTCTGACCGATTGCACCTTCCGCCTGGTGAGTGGCGCACGAAGCGCAAAGTGCCGAGGTAACACCGAATGGCACAGCATAGGCGGAAACGCTTATATATGACATGATGGTCAGGCCGCCTGCCTGGAGCCTCCAGCCTCCAGCGATGTCGCGATGCCTACTGGCAGTCAGACAAGGCATCATCCCACGAGGCGAGCGACTGACCATCTGGAGACGTTGGCGCAGGCTGCAGGTCCGTGAGCTCCATGCCGCGCGTCATGGAGTACCACCTGTTGTGCTTCACGCGGGCCCAGTCGCCAAGGATCGGCAGCTTCGCAGAACCCGCACTGTTGTTATAGATCTTGACCTCTGTGGAGGACTCATTGATGTCCACGCCGAAGTCGCCGTAGAATGCGATCATCGCCTCCTTCTTGAGCTCCTTGATGCTGACGTAGTGGCGGCCACCCGTGCGGGCCTCACGGTTCGGCATTGAGATGGTCTTCCACTCGCCCGTGTCGTGCAAGAAGACGTGCGCGTTAATCGCGGTGACAGACTCAGGCGGCCACACTGCAGGCGTAGGCTCCGACGGCTCGTCCATGATGGAAACGTAGATCCACTTCCTGAGGCCGATGCAGTGGACATCGTCCAACGCCTCACCATTTGGCGACTGCCCAGTGATCAGGTGAATGTTGATGCGGGTGCCGCGGTATGTCGAGACATCCGCAGTGATCGCCTTCTTGATCGCGCCCACCTGGGCGCACAGCCTCATGGACGCCTGGTCGAAGACGACAGGGCAACACACGGGGGCCCACGCGTCCAGCTCCTTGAAGTACGCCGTCAGCCTGCCCATGACCTCGTGCGCAGACACAATGTTGTACTCGCTCGTGTCGGGATCGTCGTAACGGCTAGTCCCAGAAGTCCCGTCGATCAGGATGACGGTGCGCTGGCCGCCGCCGCGGGCCATCACCTCCTGCTGCGCCGCAATCGCCAGGCCCGCTGACGCCATAGCCGTCGAGTCGAGAACGTCGAGTAGTTGGTGGGCCAGGGCCCCCGCTCACTGAATAGCTTGCTCGAGCCCAAGTGTCTGCGGCCCTCCAGAGCGAGCAGTCGCCCACCCGCCCCCACCGAGGTGCACAGTTTGGGCAGCTGTGGGCAGGCTTGGACGCATCTTGGGCACATCTTGGGCACACGATGCCTTGCTATAGTTGCACGCGCAGATGTATGCCTGCAGGTATAGGTTAGCACTTGCATACGTTGTGGTCTGTCTGAAGCACCTATATGTAATCGTGTGTCGAACATAGGCGCACAGGCGCTGGCGGCCCCAATATGGGCCCAAAATGCCACGCGAGACCCAAGCGAGGACTCCACTGCGACATGAGCAGGAGGAGCGGGAGGAGGAGGAGCGGGGTGAGGAGGAGGTGGAGAGTGGAAAGTCAGAGGAGGACTCCACGAGGTGGACCAGGAGGGGGACGAGCACGTGGCACGTAGAGCACCGTAGAGGAGGGATGGTCGCTCCGAGTCGTTCCTGCTTCCCCCCCCCCTCCCCATCCCGCCTTCCTTATGCAATCGCATTGGCAATGGCAACGGTGACGACGATGGGATGGTCGCGTCGCGATGAGAGAGGGGCGAGGGACGCGGAGCGGTGGAATGTCGGCGGGCGTTTCGGGTCTCTGCTCAACCGCGGCCGAGTGGTCGGTTAGCAAGCTTCCGTAGGCGGCGAAGCGTGGCCGTGCGGTCTAACGGAGGGATGACAGCACGCGCAGCATTGGCAGGCGGGCTAGCAGCAGGGCCCCTGACACGCCGAAACGGATGGCCCGACGGATGGGGTCGAGAGCTGCCGCAGACGAGCATTCAAAGTCTCCTCGGATCAGTTCGAACTCTCGGTCGACCGCCTCGGCCCGCCGCTGAGACAACCGACGCCGCTTGTAAGCCCTGAACCCCGACTTCAGGGGCATGCCTACTTCGGATGTTTCTGCATCTGTGACCTGCATGCTCCGCTGGGACGTCGGTACTCGGTACATCGGACTCATCATCTGGCAAGCCAGCGCCCTCAGCCCTCCTCCGATTCCTCCTCTTCCTCTTCTGCCCCCATATGCCTCAGGAGCCTCCTCCTCCTCATCCGCATCTGCCTCCTCCTCCTCCCCCCCCTCCTCCTCCTCCTCGGGCGCCTCCTCTCCCAGGCCCGCGCCGCTGCAGCGCGCGCCCGCATCTCCGCCGTCGCCGTCGTTATCTTGCGGTGCCTCCTCCTCTGCCCCTGCCCCTGCTACAGCGTCGCCGCGTTGGTCGGCCCCCCCGACCCTCGACTCGTCAGGATCATCGAGCCCGCCCTCGCCATCCGAACTGGCCCAAAGAGACGGGAGGAGCTTCCAAGAGCCTTGCATTGACCCAGGTGGCTACGGACCCCGCGCACCGCCCCCTGGTCGCCGTCGGCGACGGGGAGAGCGCGCGCGCGCGGTGGACCAAGAGCGACGAGCCATGAGCAAGGAAAGGCAATGAACCAGGAACAAGCTTAAGGAGCAACGCTGGCGAGGAAGTGCACGGGCAACGAAGGGGGGGCCGCTGAAAGCCGAGCGGCTGCCCCAGTGGGCCATGGACACCCAGGGGGCCCATATTAGGATGAGGGGGGAGGGGCCTTGGGGTCGTTCGCCATACAGCCTAGCGAAAAGCCCTAACGCCAACGAGCTATATGCTAGAGCAGGCCCCAATGCGCGGAAAGTGGATATGAGCAAAGAACCAGAACCTGGAGGAGCTAACGAGTTTGGGCTTTCTGACCCCATCAAATTGGCGCGCTCTTTTGGCCGGCTGAAAAAAGGGGGGAGGGAGGGGGGGGGGGGGGGGGGGGGGGGGGGGGGGGGGGGGGGGGGGGGGGGGCTAGGGCGCGCGTCAGACGCGACCGAGAGCAGGAGGCGGGGCGCCCCGCGACCCCGCCGCGCCACCAGTGGCCACCAGGAGGTCCTCGGCGTCATCGGCGTGGCGACGGCGAAGTTATTATAGTCAGAGGCGGTCCTCAGAGGCGGCGCGGGCGGGGGGGGAGGAGGAGGGAGAGGAGGGGGAACGAGGAGGAGGACCAGGAGGCGAGAGGAGTCTAAGTCAACGAGAAGGAACAGGGGAAGAGGAGGAGGGGAAGGGGGAATGAGGAGGAGGCGGGAGGCGGCGGCGGAGAGGGCAGGGAGGTGGCGGGCGGCGGAGGAGGGCCTCATCAGGGGAAGCAGAATATGATGGCAGGATGCTGGGGTGACTTCGACACCGCGGTCGACGGTGCTTGCCATCACCCCCTCGCCGCCCCTTCGCGGAGTCACCGTGCAGATGCAACCGCCAGGGAAGCAATGGAGACCACCCCCGCCTATCCTTACTTCCCTGGGACCAGCCCTCCATCACCCTTCCGCCCCGCCTCATCCTTCACGACCCATGCACCCCCCCCTCGCCCCTCGCCCCGCGGCCCCGCCGCGCCCCCCAGCGGTGGTCCTCGTGCACAACCGAAGCACGAACATGACCATGATCATTATGCAAGCGGTGGTCCTCCGCAACAGCAGGGGCCGTCGCAGCGGGGGCGTCGGGGGAGGGGGCGGCGCGGTGGAGGGCGCGGGGGCAGAGCAGGGGGGCGCAAGGGCTGGCGGCGAGGGCGAGGAAGCTGGGCCCCGAGGAGGCTCCAGCCGAACCGCTACTATACGCCCCTCCCCCATTCCTCCCAACCCCATCCATGCCCCCCCCCGACGACGACGATGGAGAAGCACAGAACCCGCGGTAGCGGCCCCGCGCAGGGCCGAGGGCTTGAAGAGAAAAGGACAGGGCTTGAAGAGGGAAACATGGAACGGCCTTCAGAAATCCGAGGTCCCAGGGCCCAATGCGGCGCCCCAGGGGCATGGCACAGGACCCCACAAGAGGCCCAAACACTGGTTGGCCCAACCGTTGGTGGAGGGTTGAGGTTGAAGCGGGTAGAGGGGGGCGAGGAGTATGGGGGGCGCTGCGCGCTGCGCGCTCGGCGCCTACTCAGGACTCCGACTCGGGACCCTCCGACTCAATGCTGTCACTCGGACCTTTCAAGTCACCTGCGGCGTC